ATTTTTAATGTTTGAAAGTTTGACAAAAGATCTATGAAGGTGTTCAGAAGAATTGAAATTTATTTAATCTAGAGATATAATAATGATCTACAAATATATAAAGATATATTTACACTGAAGACACTACCCAAAGTCTTCCAGGAAGATGAGAGTCAGATTGGAGCCTGGGCTTCAGGTGGATGTGAGGAATTCTAACTTTTTGTCAGTTAAGGTTGTTAAACATTGAATAAATGGTCCAGGAGGGAGATTGTGGAATTTCTTTCTCAAAGAGATTACAGCCTCTTTGTGATGGAAGGGAATCTCCTACCCTTTCTAAATAAAATAAACTCCTCCAAGATAGGTAGTCAAGGCATTAAGAGAAGTGGGAGGAGATTATTAGATCTTTAGCCCCAAAGAATTTTCTAGTCCCAAGCCCCACCTTGAATTTTTCCTCATGCTTGCCCTAGAGGTTAACACTTTGACTTTATTGAAAGAAGTTGCCAGATATCTTTACAGATATTCCTGCTTCAAGATGGAGGTGGTTTGTATGGAATTATAAGCATCAAAAACACCGTCCTGTGCCCCTCTGTGTGCTAGGCATTAGACTTACAGCAGTGTCTGTTCCTGCAGTGCTTCCTAAGATTTTCAGCTTTCTTTCAGGAGAACAAAATTATAGTCAGTAATGCTATTCAGGGTGTTCCTACTTAGGATAAGAGGTCGAATCGAACATCTTCACCAACTCTGAGATGCTGCTAATGCCAACATTTTTAATGAAATACTATCTGTTAGGAAGCAGATGAACACACTTCTGTAGGATGATAGTATACAAAATGAACTTGTTGTTTTTAGATAAAATAAATAAGAGAGAAAAGGTATATTTTGGAAAATGACTTATAACCTTTGTTTCTGCCAGTGTATATTTTTCCATTAAAGTCCTACGCTCTGAACCAAAGTATATTGTTAGGTGCCAGTCAATGGTTAAATAATAATCAGTAAGGATGTAAGTTCAGATTTAAATAGTACCTTTACTTGAAAGAGTTCAGAGAGTTTGGCCACTATTGTCATCTTCATCATCATCATCATCAAGAATTTTAGTGATCTTTTGATTGTCAGATAGTATTTTTTAAAGGCAATTTCCAAGTAAATGTAGTTCAACTGAAAAGGGTCGAAACTTCTCCATCAAAACTGCAGGGTAGGTAAGTCTAAAGAATAATTGCAAAGTTCTTGTGGCTATATGACTCTGTTCCATGCATATTTATTCAATTCATTATACTTGAACATGTTTAAAGTTTTTAATTCACTTTCTGATAGCAAAAGGACCTTGAGTCATACATAAAAGAAAGTCATAACTGTTCTTTTATACATCCTCTTACTTAGAAAAGAAAACAGCTCCTAGGTCATTTTTTACCATGGGTCCTCAGAGGAGAAGATAACAATTAATTCCAAGGAAAAGGGGACCCCATTCAGGAAATGAATGAGTATTCTCTGGAATACAAAGAAGAAATTAGGCTTATTGATTAATTTGTTCCACTGACTTAATCAGAATGTGTTTTTGTTTTTTTTTTTTTCCTAAAGTGAAAATTAAATTGAGTTCACTCTGAACTAATATTTGCATCCAGTGATTATGTGACTAATAATGAAGATACTGTTTGTTTCTTACAAAAAGTATAATTAACATACTTTAAGTAACATTTTGTGAAATTTTTTTTTCCAGTCATGTAAAGTGATTTGTGAAACAGGAGACTGTAGACAACAAGAATTCAGGGATCGGTCTGGAAATTGTGTTCTCTGCAACCAGTGTGGGCCAGGCATGGAGTTGTCTAAGGTACATATTGGATACACGGTAAAGTTATATATCCATGTCTGTAAAATGCATTCTTCTTAACTAAATTCTTTTAGTTAATTATTAATGAAGCTTTGGGTACCACAATAGAATTGTTGGTTCATTATGTCACTTTAGCCAAATATTATACAATTCCTTTTTCAATACTTTTGATTCATATGTCTTACTAAAATAAATAGGTTCTAAAACCCAGAATTCAAGAAATGTCATTGTTTTATATAATGTAGTGTTTGTAGTAATTCATTGAAAGAATAGAATTTTTAAGGTTTATTTGCATTAATTGAAAAGAATCAAAATTCTACTGAAGATTTAAAAATAAAGTATTGATAACAGAAAATGGTAATGCTACCATTTATTGGGCCTTCTTTTTATTAAAAGGAATGTTACCATTGCCGGTCAAGAAGTAGAGCCCACAAGTGTCTTAAGTAATGATGTTCCAAGATAGCAGTTCTTTTCCAAACCAGAATTTTGGACATTCCTTTGACAATACGAGTATTAATACTAGTCTCACCACAGTGAGCCTATGTTACTCCCAGGAGCACTTTAAATATATTCATTTTAACTACTATTTGTTGAAAAACTGTGTCATAGCAGAGCGTATTTCACAATCTTGGATGTTTTGGGGACCTTTCTTTTTTTGTGAGTGTTCAGAGTTATACATCCATTCGCTCTATTTTCTGATCTTTTGAAGATGCTACTAGTTGTGGAGAATTGATGTATTGTTTTGTTCTAAATAAAACATCAAAGCTTTCCTGTTAGAAAAGGAACAATAGCTTTTTCTTTTAATTTAAAGGGACTTAAAAGAAAAGCCCCTTTTCCCTACAGACTGCCATTATTTAAAGCTGAGTCTTGTCATTCATAGATTTCTGATCAATGATCTACAAACAGCAGGAAACAGAGACTGATGCATTCCACAAGTAGTTCCTGGTAGATGGCTTTTCTTTCCAGTTGTTGTGTTAAATCATTGGTGGCTTTCAGTATCCTGGGCTTTACATTGGATTGAAACTGACTGGCCTTCCAACTGTAGCATCTCAACAGGTATTTTTTGATCCCTGTTGATTATACTAATGTGCATTTTCAGACTTAGGTTTGCTATGTTGGGTGTAAAAAGATTCATTTATAGCAGATTGACGTGTCTAAAATCAATGAACAAAGTAATTAAAAGTGCCATCATGCAAAACAGGAAAGCAGATGAAGCTGCTATTCTTCAAAAGTTCTTCTTTTCCCAAATCTACGAAAATCTGAATCAAACTTGACAGATTCTATGAGATTAGTAAATCATTTCTAAGAAATTGATCTCTTACCTTCATTTTTTAATGTAGAGACAATCACCTTAAAA